TATATGTATGTTTATATATGTGTTTGTGTATTTATATATATATATATATATATATATATATGTGTGTTTATATATATGTGTGTGTGTGTATATGTGTGAATGTTTATATATGTATATGTATGTTTATATATGTGTTTGTGTATTTATATATATATATATATATATATATGTATGTGTTTATATATATGTGTGTGTGTATGTTTATATATATATATATGCGTGTGTATGTATATATATGTGTATATGTGTGTATTACCAAACCGACACAAAGGCTATCTCTGCACACCTGTCCCTAATTTTGAATTGATATACTAGATTCAACTTAAATTAAATCTAACTTATATACTAATGAAACCAAGTTTGTATAACAAACGAAAAGAAGTTCCTAAAGTCATAAATCAACACTAAAATATCTACTGGTTGTGATTTGAGTAGATTCAATCATAAGATGCTTATGCTCGTTATTAACGATATCTTCGGCTATTCTTACAAAAACTAGCTGAGAGTTCCTGAAAGGAAACAACATTGATATAAAGGACAATGTTAGATAATGTTCTTTTCTTTCTTTCATTTGATATTAAATCCACAATAACCTCTTTAAATGCTAATTGCATACCCTGCTTTGAGGAAGGCAATAATTGACTCATCTAACTGGTTAACTACTCGTGTCTTTAGATTCAAAGCCAAAAGTCTATAAAGGAATTGAGGCTTGCTCTATGTGATGGTGTTGTTGTTGTTTTTTTATCTCCCTTCTCTAGCAAAAATTATAAAACAAAACAGCTCGTGTATACTGTCGGACAGTTTCCAGTTACTATACAAAATATTACGGTAATCGAGCCAACTAATCGTGATTGATGGAATGCAAAAGTGTATAAAAAAGAGGAAATGTGTCCTATTTCGGAGGTATTCTTATACCTCTTCTTAAGCAAAAATCGTACAAGAGGTTTGTTTATTTTGTTTAAGCTGAACAATGGACATGCACATCCGAAGAGGGGAACAAGTGCCCCTTGCCCCCCCCTGGAAAATGAGGAACACAATTATTTCTTTATTCATTCGTCATATGTATATTATTTTTTTTTACTTCACGATTTCACACTACTTTACCCCCCCCCCTCGGAAACATTTCTGCGGACCCCACGACAATGGATTATCTGTGCTAAACCAACAGCAGGGGGTCGAACACTATATTTTAGAGTTATAAACGAAATGGGTCGTCTTCATGTTAAGCTGTAATTATGTTCTGATCTGTATGAATATCTGGATGTAAAAATAGTCAATTATTCGCATGTTATTGAGTCTTTCAAAATATACTTTATATCTCACAACTGATCCTTTATCTAATTATTTCTCCATGACTGTGTGATATCAATTGATCAACATATCAATTTTGCATTAACACGCTCTGTTTTGTTTCAAGAACAGAGAACAGATAGAGATTATAAGATATTTATAGAGTGTATCTGTTTCATAGTCTTCAGTTTTTAGTTCCAGTTATCATATAAATTGATTGTAGGTTTGAAAAAATATTTTACATAATAAATATTGTATCCATGCAAAAGGTATTCAAAATATGTTATACTTGTTCCTAAAATATCAGTTCTTATTTTTACTTAAAAATAATTTATTGTTCTGTAAACAACAAAAACAAATGTTTTTGCCACTGATGACTCAACAGTAATATCGAGAGCTTAAATTCTTAAATTCGGGGTTCGATCCCTGTTTCTGGTACAATGTCCCATTATGCAGCTCTGCTCTTAAAAAACAATGTTTGTTTATTGTTGTTTTGACCAGCTAAAGCTCATATGCAAAAAATAGTTGAATTTTTAACTAAGAAGTTACCAACTTTCAGAAACAATAACTTATTTTTAGAAAGTTTATAAGTTATTAGGCTTAGAAATAAATAAACACTCCTACTGCTACTTTATTGTTCTCAGTAAATTTTACAGTTAGTGAGCTTTTAAAATTTTAAGATATCTCATTTATAACTTTGTCGAATGCGAGTGATAACAACTTCATTCTTGTTGTGTTATAGGAACATGTGGGAACATTCTCGTTTCTTCACCTTAAGATTTAAATCTCTGGATTTGGAACGCCAATACCGTGGTCGAAGGGCTATTACAATCATGGTTTCAATGGCAGGATTTCTTCTAGTCCTATTGTCATGTGATTTTGCTGATCTCGTGCTGGTTCCCGGAACGTGAGTTTTGTTTTTGTTTTTTGTTGCTCTATCGCTCACTTCATAAGCAAGTCAGTAATAAAAGAAAAAAAGATAATTATGGCTTCATTCGTGGGTTGAAACGTATCAAAAATTGGATTAACCTTTACAAACAAATCACGTAACGATCGTGCAAATGTCAGCTTTACTTCTGTGTATACGAATCCCTCTTTGTAATTTATAGTTTTAGGGAAAATCGTAGCACATGAATACAGGTTTCAGTAACCCGTTATTCTAATGCCTTTCTATTCGAAAGCGAGTGTGTCGTGCTACTCTGAAGTTGTAATAGCAATTAGCACATTAAATGATATATCAGATGTGCTCAACTCATCTAGATCGAATATCAGGTACATTGTACTAGATATACTAGCGCTGATCGGCTATTCCAAGTCGAGATAATCTGATATGTTTGTCTAAGTCGAGATAATCTGATATGTTATTCTAAGTCGAGATAATTGATATGTTATTCTAAGTCGAGATAATCTG